TCCGAATCGGTCTTTAAAAACGGGTAATCGACCTGACATTAAACTTTTCACCTCGTCGTAAAACACATAATAATTTAGTAGATCCACTTACAATACAAGCTTATCGCTTAGGTACTTCCAAAAGCTCCTTTGGGTGCCTGTTATACAAAAGTGCTACACTTCTAGAGTCTCAAATTAATTAATCAACTTTAATCGAACATTGGTCATGATGATTTCTTACAAGCATCTTTAATCGCTGATATATTATTATCTTCACTACTAATTTAAATGGAAAAATATACTGTTAAACTTCGCTACTTAGATTTGTAGTAAGTCTATCAGTGGACGACATTTATTAATGAATATTTATTTATTACAAAAAAATCCTGTCAGTAGAACATTAGCTGACTCCCTGCAAGAAGAACCACTGACCGTGAACACGGTCTAACAGACGTATTTTACGATATCAATATGCATTCATTGTTAATACACACCATAATTACGTATTTATCTTTACATTACGTCTTTGCCAGGCATTAGAATAGCCGGCGGTTCCCTTTCAATATTTATTCTTCCCTAATTCCACCCTAATTAGGGAAGGTGTGAATTTCTTCAAAGGTATTATGGATTTCGAGGGTGGGCCAATTTCGATCTTATCTACATGGATATCTTGATACAGGATGTGGTCGAAATAGACACCTACCTCAACTCGCGATCCACCGTGTAATTGTCCAATTAAAGACAAAATTTTATGTAAATAACTATACAAAACGGCCAAACTTGAATTATAGTCAGGAAAGGTGTTTACTTATAAAACGCCGCAAGGATGCGAGTTGAGTGACCTGGAGAAGAATGTGTATTATTGCCGGCGAAAGGCTCATGTCAAATTGAATAATGCTATAAGCTCAATTCTAAAATGGCAATATCTTAGATCGTTGAAAAGGAGGTGAAAAAACGACGACTGGGCGGTTAATTAATTAGCAATTTCCTATTCACGCGAACCAAGTCGGCACGTTAGTAATTAAGACCGGATCACACGATATGTTAGCGATTCATTCTCTAATATAGATCAATGATAATCATTCGTACTCTGACATAGTAGAAAAAGAATACAGAAACAGAAAGCTCAAACAATAGTGTGAGTAACGTTATAATAAGCTTCGTGTGTAGTCAGTCTATTATCTTGTATGGCGTTAAATGCACCTATAAACAGAAATGAATTAGGTAGTTGCAATTTTTTTACAGAATAACTGAATGAGGTTAGATGCCAGATATGAAAAGACAATAAGATCAATCATTTCAAGTCACTTTTGTATTACTTCTTTGTGTGTTATCCAGAAAGTTGAAAGAAATAGAGTCATGAAGAAAATTATATTTATTTGCTTACTTTCTGAGTTGGTTTGATTCAATTTTAATCGCAATTATGTGTATGAATCACAGGCATTATACTGCATCAACAAAAAAACATGTTTAATTTGGTAACGAAAGGATGCTAAATTTCTATTAATAATTGCGAGCAATTACTAAAGTGCTGTGACATGAATAACTCTTAATGCTACATCATTAAGTACCGTAAAATATTCAAATATTTGCAATGTTCACTCGAACCACGAAAGCGTAAATCAAAAGCTACAATCACAATCGTGCCAATTAACAATTAAAATAAACACGGTTGTAACGTTGATCAATATGAGAGAGTACCGCAACTCGGCACTGTAAAACAAATGATTTTATAATAGATATCAATCTGCTGCAATTAACCTGATGTTTAGTCGAATAAAAACTGTACCAGATTAGAATTATTCGCACACGCTTTTCTCAAGACAGGGAATGTAACGCGAGCTCAGGTTGGCGTGACGCTCGCACAGCCGCTTATCATCGGATCTATCAAATTATGATGCTTTTTCTTTGGTCGATTGTGTGCGCAATGGATTAGGTAGATATGTGCACTTTGGTTGTATTGTTATACAGCGAGTACCTGTACACACCAAGGGAGATTGTTATCAATAAGCGTCTGCATATCCTTTGTAGGGCCATTATACCTGGTGTCCAGATTGTGATGTCTTGACTGTTCTTGCTTTCTTGGCATATAGAAGCTTCAATCGGCCAATTTGACCGTAGTTTGCCCTTACAGAAAATACAACATATTAAGGCTGAGTTGCAACACCTACTCGTAACTTTGATCGTAACTATAACGATAACCGGCGTTTTTCGTATGGAGTTTGACAGTTTTTTGATGTTTGTCAAAGTTAAGGTAAGATGGTGCAACCAAGCAAGTTCTGTTTTCGAAATGGATTTGACAAAGTCACATACATTGCGATTAAGGCTGAGTTGCACCACCTAACTTTGACCGTGACTATAACGATAACCGGTGTATTTTGTATGGAGTTTGGCAGATTTTTGACGTTAGTTAAAAGTCAAAGTAAGATGGTGCACCCCAGCCTAAGAAGTCGAATCTATAACGATATTCGAATTTTACAAAATGTAGAGTCTCTTATTTTAAAGTTAACTATATTTTCTTCCTGTCTTACATGATAATAAGTAGATACTTATTACTCTCTGGTCGAGTAAAAATATTTAATCTTTCTTGATACTGAATAAGCACGAGAGTATTTGCAAATACGATGTCCACATTTTGACGGAACGATTGCGGTTTAAGCATTTTTTTAAATTAAACATTGACAAGAACATTTCGTAATTTTATATGCAGGTTGTCTTATCGTAAATTTAATACTTTAATGATGTCTCCTAAAGGTCCGACTTTGATAAAAAACGTCCATGGTACCTGTATAAAAGCCATCGCTCGGCGTCACCCACAGTTAGCTAGCGAGCGACATGTCATCGATATTTTTTGCCGGACTGAGATGTCTTTAACGAAATTCATGTCATTGGGTCCGATTTCTCTAAGATTAACTTTTTTACATTATTTAACAAATAGATCGGACCCTTATACGCTCGAATATTCAGTTACATGGTTTAACACTTAAAAGGGCTTAACGACTCTAACACATCCTGCGGGTTACGATAAAAAAGACGACAAAAAGAATACTTCTCGTGTTTGTTTTTTAAAAGATGTCTGCTGAAGATAAGGTGCAGCGGCACTTTAATCCTCCAACCGTCCGATATTTGAAAAGGATATGATGACAACTTTTTTGTGCTCTTTATCTAATAAGCACATATAACCAATACTTAGGACGTGCATGTACTTATTTCCAAAGTTTGTTCATGTCGATAAAATGAGTGACACACATTTATGTCTTTATCAGTCGGTTTAAACTATAAATCCTCTTGACACCTACAAGTGTAGGAGTCATCTTGATTTACTCGTGTATATCGCCACTGCATTATTTATTAAATACTTTAACAGGGTTATCAATATTTTTCGGAATTATCTTATTTTTGAGCATTGCACAATATTTTGTTATTTATAATTATTATAATAAGAAAAACTTCGTGTCAATAGTAAGTTGGCAACGTTGCATACAATTTATACAGGTATATATATAATACGTCCGTAATGGCCGACCGGGTAAAGAGGGCATGGCGTACTACAGAAATTATGTCGTTACATCCAACAGACACTGGCATCGTTTGAACGGATTCAATCCCTTTTAAGCACCGGCGTCGATTTCAGCCACACTCCCGCGTATTGATCGATATAATCTCTATTACCATAGTCATTAGGTCGAATGAGCAACGATTCCTGAGCTAAATGCCTACAGCTAGAGCCAACATATAATATGTCACCGAGCAAGGATTAAATAACTATGCAGGGTATGTAATGTAGGTAATATCACACGGATTCGACGTTTAACGGCTTCGGGATTACCTTAATAATTCCCCAATACAACAAATGTTTTTAGCCTGACACGTGATGGCGTGTATAAGGCGCCGAAAGTTGGACGATAGTGAAAACATGGCGATCGCTGCGGTGGCAGGCGGTATGTTGAGGGCGAGGAAGCCATACCTCCTGCAGACGGGTCACAACTTCAGCTTAGTCTACAGTCAACCGCGACGCGACTTTACCAGGCTTATGTCGACAACACTACCTCTTTACATAATTAAAGGTTAAGTCACATAGAATCAAAGGTTACACAATTTATACGCTACCTTAAATATCTCTGCTCTTTTCGCGGAATTGTCTAGCATATGCACACTCAAACATTTAGCTTTTCAACCAATATAAAATCGATTACGTCGTACCATCTCGTCCCGAGATTAATGTCGTCTATCTATAGGATGTGGATATGCCTCAAATAAAAACTTTTTTTACGGAAATATCCTATAATAACACGGAAAGGATACAATGGGGGTATTAATTATTATTTTCTTTCACAAACTGACACAAAGTTGTATCATAAGCGTTCGGGTGGCATTTCTCGGTTTCTAATCCCATAGAGAACACAATGAACGTAGGACGGCTGGGGACCATTTTTCATTCCAATGACAAATATTTAGAAAGTTATTTATCCGCGTACGACTCTGCAGTGCTGAATTTAAAAAGGTCGTACGACTCAGTTCGCGTCTTTGCCTTTATGGTCGTACAACAGCGGATATTTATTCTGCGACCGCGGATCGTTCAGGTAGTTCGGCGAATAAATCCACTATAACAACAATATCCCTCGCCCAATTCCTTTGTAGTTTAATTCAAAGTTCCTCAATCGTATCATATTTGTCAATTGATTTTTTCGTTCACGTCAAAAGAATTACGAAGCGTATTAAAGTGTTTATTGCCGCGAGAGGCACGCCCATAGTTTCCTCACCCCTTTTAACACATTCATTAAATTCTCATTTATTATCCATCAGCTTAATTTTAGTATGCTAATACATTTTTTCCTAAAGTTAAGAGTCGTTTGTCAAATAATCGATAGCAACTACGTTGATATAGCTTGCGCTTTGCGATTGTATTGCTGCGCGCACGGAGGCCTCCAAATTGTTTGTTTTTGTTTGCAACAGCGAATGTGGAAACGCGCCATAAAGGCATTTCAAAATTTGCAACTTACAGAGCACCATATCGACAGCCTCCAACAGTCCGCCGCCGGCGCAGGCGGGGATGAGCGGTGGCGCAGGCGGCGCGAGCGGCGCGGCGCGGCCCAGCTCGCCGGCGCCCGCGGCCTCGCGCTGCTGCGACACCGGCCGCCCCATATTCCAGGACCCCATTACTGGCCAGACGGTTTGCTCGTGCCAGTACGAGTTCCTCAACTATCAGAGGCTCGCGTCCGGCGTGCCGCTGTCCATGTACAGCGCGCCGTACTCCGACGCAGCTGCTGCCACCGCCGCTGGCATGGCGGCCTACTTCCCGGCTCTTGCCGGTGATCAGCCACCATTCTACCCGAATGCTGTTAGTATAAAGTTTGAGTATATGCTGAAAACTTTAAATGTGACCTCGTAATTTCAGTTTATATCTTTTCATTAAACAGTCATGACACAAGCTTGACATATGCCCGGTAGCGTATTAGCATAAAAATTAATCAATGTAATATTCGCGTATTATTTTTTGAGCTTAACCTTCAAGCTCGTGTAAAGTCACTTATTGAACCAATATACTGAACTATTGAGGAATTTTGCCAAGTAATAATAAACTGTTTACTTAAATAAAAAGTGAAGCTTTGACATGTTGAATATATTTAAAGAAGAAGAAAAAAAATTACATGCCAAGATGGAAAAGGGAAGTAATAAGAGTCAAACTACTTTTGAATTGAACTAAGTACTTACTAGATATATGCAAGTTAACCAGAATATTGTTTTCAATATCATACTCGTATCATCTATACCAGTATTTCCCAAAGTGGGCGATAACGCCCCCTTGTGGGCGCTGCAGGCTTAAAGGGGAGCGGTAAGAGACCCAGAAAAAAATCGGGACGTTGTGTAGAGGCTTGGGAGGCGTCGTCTACTAGGAGGACTCTTAGAAATCAACTGAGCTCGACTCTTGACTACAAATAATGGGGGGCGCTAAAAAATAATTTATTCTCAAAGTGGGCAGTAGACTAAATAAGTTTGGGAACCACTGATCTATACGGTTTCACCAGAAACTAATACAAGTATAATTTAAAATAGATAAGTCACCATATAATATAACATTAGCATTATAAAATCTACAGTCGAAGCAGAACACTACCTACAAAGTGAGGCTCTTTATGGCGCTATGGCAGACGAAAGTACACACTTACATATTTAAAACTAGTTTCATTGACAGGTACCATCCAGCCTACACTAGTTGACTCCATGGCAATTGAGAACATTTTATTTTACTTTCATGAGCATAATGAAGCCAAGAGATAACGTCTTATCGCACGCAATCTACGAGTACCTACGTCAATTGGCTTGGTCTTCATAAAAGAGTTCAACCTACCAATGTTTCTTAGAACTCGTATGCACAGAATGGTAACTGTATCGTTTGGTAAATTGGTTATTTATACAGTTCCTATTGAATATATACTCAACATCAAATAAACCGCACCTTCCGCAACGCGAACTTTAACGATTTTCTTCTGACACAATCATGGTGCCCTAACAATATTGGTGTTATTTGAAAGCCCAATAAATATCCTTAAAGAAAAACACATTTAATTTCTTAATAAATTATTAGCATATACCATAAATGTGACTTGAAAAAATACCTCATTTTGGGCCCACCTATGGGATCAATTAGACCAATTTTTATGGTTATAAAACCAAATAATGATTTCACGTGTCCTCTTTAACAGATGGATAGCAATCAAACCCAACTTAACAGTTTTATAGCCATAAAAGTTGGCTCTAGCGTAACTACCTATTTTTTGAAGAAGTGACTCTGGATCCTTCTAAAGACACATTTTTGGGGTAAAAACCTTTCCTTTAATGAAATGAAGGTTAGAACTAGGCTTTTAAATGGTACCAATATTGGTGGGAAGTGGGGATGCATACGTTTGAAAATGCTTGTCGCGGGAGGTGCGATTTATTTGACGTCGAGTGTATTATTTCTGCCAATAACAGAAGGCATATTTTTAAAGGTATATTTATAAAATGCGGCGGTGAATGCTTGCATCTTAAGATCCAATGGACTTCTCTACTGTTTAATCTTATTATCAAGCGCTAAAATTAATTAAGTTCACAAGAGCTTACGACTTTAAAACGAGATATCAAATAAATTGAAAGGATTATAGACGTCTACAGCAGAGCAGATTATATTTTATCGTTGACTTCTTTCGACAGTATTAACAAAAGCATTACCTTAAAATAATTAGGATACGATGTCAAAATAGTACCATAGTGAAACAGGATCTTTCACGATGTTAAGTAGGCTCCACAATAAGTTTACGATGTAAAAAATGCGTATAAATTAAAGTCTTAATCCGATGATGCATGTTCTTTTGTCCATCTTCACAAAAAAGTTGTTCTGCCTCTGTAGGGTTTAATATCTTAATACGTTTAACGATTTCTTTCTCGGAGATTAAAATACAGTTGGGATACTGTGTTGCCCGCGCAGTCGGATTTAAATTCCAACACAATTGTTATTTCTGTTTTGACATAGGCATTGACTAATAATGAGGCTACTTACACTGAAAGAGTTATACACATTGGTCAAGGTTAGTTGATTGACTGTTTTCAAAGAACGTGGTTATCATTTTGGAGAAAAACATTGCCAGCTAATTGTTATTATACCTATCCTAATATAGGACTTTATTACTCTACCTTAAAAATTAAATTTTAAATTAATTTCTTTAGTCTAGAGCTATCAAACTATAAGAACCATAAAATTAAGCTATTATTACGTTGATTAGTTTAAAAAGGAAACACTTTTTCTATCTACTAATGACAAAAAAACACCCCCTGTATTAGAGCGAGCTTCACCGAAAGCCATGTGTGTGGGTAGTGACTTTGAATGATAATGATCATAACAACATAAAAGTAGCCACGGTACGTAATATATGATGTGTAGTAAAACTTTTGGAGGAAGGTGTGAAAAGGTGAGGCCGTAGACGTGTCCCGACAGATGATTCAATCATTCATGAAGATATGATCGTATATCATCAGTGGCGAAAGTGTTAACTCGAACCGCCGCCGACGCCTCCGTCAATGGGATACCCTTAGTTTTTTTACATGCCTTTTATTCTATTTACATTCATTATTTCTGTTTTGAAACCTAGAGGCATATGACTTGTGTTTATAGAATCTCTTTGTAGTCTCTTATGACTGTGTTGACAGATTGTAAAAAAGCTTTGCATTCATACTAATGAGGAGGATTTCCATAAAAATAAAATATAAGTAGTAGTAAGATACACAAGAAATAAAAAATGTATTCATTGAATCGAGTTGCTTTTGATCACAAACGAGACTAGGAGCTTCGTAGCATGAATATTGAAATAGTGATTAGGTATTTTTTAAATGCGATATAAAGCGTTACTCCTCAAACTCCTCCGCGAAGCGAAGCGATATTATGCGACGCAACTTCTTTAGAATTTAACAAAGAGTAGCTGAAGTCGGTACCTATCTACACTTGGCCTGCGTTGTAAGTCTTATCATCAAAGTAGCGAGCCGCTACTATATCTCGCATACGCAATGCATCGCATCGCGACGCGTCGCATCGTTTCATTTTCCTTACTACGAGTATAGGCCAACAAGTCAGTTTGTCTTTGACAATGAATATTAAACTCTTTACTTCACTTTACACCAACTAAAAAACGGTTTCAAATGTTAAAGAAGAACCAATTTTGTTTTTAAGGAATATCAATAATATGACCTTAAACCAACGCCTTTAAGCTGTTTCATTGGCATACGAAACTGATACGTCCATGTTAAAATCTCAAGCGTCAACAAAGTTTACAACGAACAGCAATAATCAGTTAACGTGTCCAACGTGTAGTTCAGGGGATTAAAGATAGTCATAAGTTTTATAGTCAGCATAGTTACATTTATTAGGAGAATGCGATTATAGCTATCATCCATCAAAATTTTAACAATCTACCAAAAAATTATACAACCTTTTATCGTGATCCAAGATTAGGACGTTCTTTTTCAAGGCTTTCGACCACAACGGAGCACTTATTTTCGAGAAAAGGGAAACTATTAATCTCAAAAGACACGAATACAATGTTTGTGCTTCTATTTTGGGAATAAAGTCATCAACAAACTAAAGAATTTATCCTATTTATTGTTTTCATGTAAATATTATTTTTTATTCAAGACTACATTTGCGCGGAGCTTTATGATGTTGCCTGTAACTGGCAGGCAAATGCACGGCATAATAAATCCCAGCGCATATTTGCGTTTGTGAGGTTATTTGAGGTAACAGAAAACTGGAATTATACCTATCAGAAAGGTCGAAGCAACAAAGAGCGACAGAGCGACTGGATTACGCTGTCGTACTTGAGTAAAATTTATTATCGGATTTTCGATACGGCCACCAATGAAGTTGTTGGACAACAAAATCTTTTGATAGATTTATCCTGGTTGACCGCATTAAGACTCGGGAGCGAGTAATTTTTAATGCGTTGCTATAAATTTTTGTACCCGTCGCCCGTTAGTAGTTGTTGCTTTTTTACGCGATTTTTACTTACGTACGATTATGCAAATATATGTTCAACTTGTCACAGTCTTCACTTTTTAAATTGAATAACTTATCCTATATAAGAACTGTACAAAACGTAACAATAAATTCATACATTTGTTTATCTTGACGACATAAAAGAAAGCAAAGTTCAACAATCCTCATGAGGGGACAAAAAAGATACATTTGTCGACCGAGAGATGATTGATGTAGTCGCTGCGTATCTCTGCCCATTAAATAATAATAGTTAAGACGAAAAGTTAAACCGATCGATCAAGAAATCAATCCGATGAGGTTCATTTTTATAATGGATTAAGTTAAAGCTACCGGAAACATGAAGGGGTATTATTATAATGGCCTGGTTTAACGAGATTATGTGTTTGAAAGTTTACATGTTAGCAATATTTATTAGGTATTAATGGATGTGAAATTTTTGATTGGTGAAGCAGGCTGACATGTTTGATTTGACATTATTTTTATCCGTGCTTAACTTACACTTTCAGCAATTAACTTTCAGTTATTTTGTAACAAAAGCTTTTATGAAAAAACTAGAGTTTATGAATCAAAGGCTAGGCGAACTTTTACCGTAATTAGATCCTTTTGGAGTACTAAAGTTGTTTTTTTATGTGCACAGGCGGCAGGGATCGAGTTAAAAGAGAACCTGGCTGCAAGCGCAGCAAGCTGGCCTTATCCCACTGTTTATCACCCGTACGATGCGGCGTTTGCTGGATACCCCTTTAATGGGTAAGTCATAATTATTACATCAGATTTATGTTTTGAACTTGACAAAGGTTAACCATTCAAGCGCTGTTAATAGACACAAATATCAACGAATTTGTGTCACCCTTTTCTTTATGAGTGTTTTGTCTTCCAGGCTGAGATAAAATGTTTTTTAACATAACTTTAACGTTTTCCTTCTAAATACAACTTGCTTATAATAATATCCCTATTGCGGAACTTAACCGTAGAACTTTGACTGAGATTAGTGGGACATGGTAAAAGGGCTCTTTAGACAAAAAAATATTTAGGTAATACCTAAATATTTTTTACCTAAATAATATTACCGGCTGCGATTTTCGGAAACAATCGGCGAAGCATAGTAACAGAAATGCTATAAGAGTTGCAAATAAGCCCTGATTGGTTGTGGACTCGTTAAAAAATTATACCCACGCATCCAGTCCTCAGTCACAGTGACGGCTGGCGGCAATTTTGAAGCCAAGCATAATTAATTTTTATGCAGCTCCCTCCCAGGGGGTAAACGATAGTTGGACAGTATTGAGCTCTCTCCAATTGACAGATAGCCCCTAGCGTCCGGCATATCGGAGGGATAGACGCCCAAATCTCTAAAAAGAGAACAAATCACTGTAAACGCCAAAGCCTGCCCACTTCCTCCCTGTGTACTGTCATTCTAATTTTCCAGCGCAGATTTTGTTTTACCAAAAAATCTCTGCAGCGCTTTTATCTACATCAGTCATTTCTTTTGTAAACCCTACCCGCTTTACCCATACTCACTTTCGTTCTGGCCAAATTGGTGCAGAAAAAGAGAAATAAGAATGATACGAACGTCATGCAATAGCAATAAATAAAGATGCTATAATTAAAGAATTACGTAGATTAAATTTATAAAAATTTGATTGAACATGACAGACACTACGAGTAGAACAATTTTAATTTAATAAAATCATCAGAAAGTTTAAATACGCTAAACACAATTTAATGATGAATTATAGTATAGGCTTCATTGCTATTAAGGACATATCGACAACGGAATTATTATCATTATCAGCTATGTACATACGTAGGTGGGACTCGATGCCGTTTGATGTTCACTGATAGCGGCAAAATGTTAAGGTTACAAAACACGGGTTTATTAGATAATTATGACTGTTATATCAGATTATTGAACTGTATCTGTTTGTCACGATCACTAACGTAAATGCGCAATCGAAATCAAAGTTTTATCCCTGATTATTGTAGTTATTAATTGGTTGTGTAGGTAATATGACTAATAAAAGTAGTCACTATGTAGTTCACAAATTGCGAACGGGTGTTAAAATAATTGAGTCTTGTAATTTGGAAATGCCGATTATAATTGTAAATGAGTAATGTATTTTTGAGGCAAAATATGCTGTAGCCATTAATTACATACAAATAAAACTAGTTTTTTGTCTGGTTACAAGACTCAATACAAGAGACATTAGATTAAGCACTTAGCACGTATAATATGGAAACGGTTAATTACTGCTTCAGCAATCCATTAACACTTGCCGGAACACTTCATTACTCGCTCTCAGCGTAGCGTTACGTTTTTGTTCTTGATTATACGCCCGAGTATTAATAACTTATCATGGAGAATACGAAATACTTAATGCAGAATGGCTTGGCTGGGAAACAGTCGAAACTTATAGATTCATGAGCTCACATAACATAGCTATTTCCCTTTAATACTTTTTTAACTTGATTTCACGGCATCACCTTAACTTAATCATTTAAAGTAGACTGTTAAATTTCGTTTAATAATTGAAATGAAAGTAAGACAAAATAGATTACATTACGAATTAAGTAAAGCTTTTGTTATCTATAACTATCATTATTTTATACGCAAACTAAATCTGGACTTGAATATGACGTTTATAAGGAATTAAAGTTGTAAAAATCCTTAAAACATAAAATAAAATGACTGAGATGATAAAAAAACACAAATTTCAAAGCTGAACTTGCTACTTGCTCGCTCAGTGAGAGACTAAACTAATAGATCACCGGTTCGCTGGCTAGACGCGGCGAACGTCTTGATTTATATGTTTTTAATTGCACCGCAGCTTAGTGTAGCTTACTAACTTTCAATGAATATAGATTAAACTATCGGAATAAAAGCCATTAGTGTGTGTTATCACATTATACAATGAATTATGCGGGTTAAGGGATGTTATAAACGTTTTGATGAACAAATTGAATTTTATTGTTAATAGGTTACTTTTATATGATTATGCAGCTGAAGTTGTTTTATAACCCCTAATATAACCTTGGTTAAAACTTATAAACTTACACTTATAGAGACACTATTTTGTCGTGAGCTATTTGTAAATCACTGTTACTGGTTTACGATGTGTGTTGGTAAATTTTTGTGTCAAATAAGCTTTATTTAAGGGATTTTTGCGGTTATTCTTAACATAAATCTAAGTACATGACATCTGATTGTATAGCGATCAATCCTTTCATTTTGACACAAAAATTGACGAGTTAAAAAATAAATCAGTGTGAGTAAAAATACAACAAGCGTTAAATAACACAATTAAAATGTTGTAAAACGTCGAGGGGCGTCTTGGTACTAATAACGTCGTAATAGAAGGCTATCGACACAGACGGACGGACTGTGACTAGTGACGGGACGGGACACACAATATCGAAAATTATCAAATTCAATACTTTAACAGCCCAATTTATTCGATTCACAGATTCCTATGGAGTCGTAATGACTTAAAATACTTTACTTGAATTATAATTTACTTGACACTTTCCTAATTGATGGAATTAAATCTATTTCCACCAAAAAACTTTTGCTGAAAATGCAGAAAACTTACTGATCAAAATCCTTTCACTGAGTTCGATTTTGTTAGTCAAAGGTTTCGATCTACGAATTTAGTATGTCGCGGAATACGATTCCTAAAGTAGTTTTTACTCCTCAAGATTGACCTAGCTGTTATGTGTTAAATCGGTTACACATTTTAAAGTCTTAAATGCTAAAAAACAATGACCTTTATTACGAGTAGTTCATCCATAAATTAATACATTTCATCATACAGAATTTCAGTGACCGATCTAAGATAATATTTCAAAATTTTTTATAGAGTTACAGAAAATAACTTCAAAATACAATATGAAATTGCTCCATCTCGATTAAAATAGCGTAGAATCGATTCCGAGCTCGATTCGGATCAGCCACGGCACATCGCTAGGGGCAGGTGCACCGAAACAACGGTCCCTGCGATGGGTATCTCAGACCTTAATCACTCACGTCGGCAACAATCCGTAATGATATTTACTAAATAAACACGAAAGCGGTCCGTAATTAAGCGCAATTAAATTTGTTACACTGTGTTAGTAAATTAAATATGCTTATTTAGACCGCATTTCGTTTAGTGGCCAAACTCACTGCCCGTGACCTATTGGCTCCTTAATGTTTTAATGCAAAATCGTTGTTTAAATATTCATATGTCGGTACTCCACATTGAAATCTGATAATAGGAATTATTTTGTTTTCGTGTACAAACTTGATGTGATTTCTTATCAGAAAGATAAGAATAACATCGATTTCAAACTCCTACCTGATTTAATTATTCCACATTATTCTAATCTTACTATCACGCTCGCAAATAACAGAAAGCGGTTTTGTTAACAAGGGCAATGTTTAAGAATCTACTTAAATTTCTTGAGTTGGCATACAAAGTTAAACACACAATTTGAAGCAACAATAGAAACGCTTTCAGTCCGTGAGAACTCCAAAAGTGACAACTCAAACAACAGCTCAAAATATGATAAAGTGATTCTCAAATCTTGCGATGTTATAACAATAACGAAGTGTTTACCGGGAAGTTTCCACCAACAATTAGCCTGAGGGTAGGTTTCGGGAATGAAGAGTGACATCGGGTTCGTCCTGGAATGACTTGTACAAACAAACCCTCTTTACGCCTCCTGGGCCCTCACCCTCTGGTCACTTAGCTGGCCAGTACACTACGAATATCCCATGGTTAATAATTCATCAGCTGTCACCAACATGACCAGTTTACTATTTCGTCTTCTTGCTTTGGCGGTATTTTTAACTAGGGTCCAGAAAATTCTGCACTTACAATTGCTGTATAAATCATCGAAGTACCTACTCTACATAATATGTGTTGACATGGAGTTGCTAAGTTTTAGCTTAAAATTCCCAATCAATTCAATAAATGAAAATCGTCGTTACTGCACTACCAACACGCACACAGTAAAATGAATAAATCAAATGACCAAGTGCTCGAAATGAAATTATTAGAGTCCCTTATGAGATAGTCGCGCCACTGTCCTTAGGAGGCGCGGGCCCGTTACTCGGCGGCGGTCGTCAGCCGCCCGAGCCGTGACTGGTGTAACAACCACCGAGACATTTCCGCTATTTACCAGCATAATTACAACGGAAAAATATACTACACCATATAAAAGTTAGTAGACGAATTTCGACGAACCGACGCCGTGAGATTCGCGTGAGCAGATGCCGCGCACGTACCAATCTATTCGGCCTCTGCCCGATATTGTGCACACAAAGTAACGATTACTCATGCTCGCCGAACTTTATTTACGACAGGAAGAAATTGCGATTGTATTCTCTTAATGGTTATAACTTCCCAATATGACGTCGCCTGTCGGTACTTTTTTGTGTGAAATATTAATTGAAATACACACGTTTAAATTGACACGGTTTTTTATCAGAGTATTTTCACGATAAATAAAAACACAGATAAATTGCGGCGCAAAAGGCTGTCCACATAATCCAAAAAAATCTATTCGCTAAAAGCTCCAGGGAGAATGTGCAGTGAGGGTCGATGGCAGCAAGGGTAAGATGGTTTCACGTTTACAATTTGTCAATCACTCTCTCGGGGGAAATGGTTTAGCGCGCTTTTTCCACCGATTGTCATGATAAATGTGCCTTCAACAGATTAGGTAGGCATGGAATGTAGAATGTAACGTATGGATATAGCGCAAGAAGCTACGTA